CCCCAAAACCCCAAAACCCCAAAACCCCAAAACCCCACAGCCTGCAAAAACATATTAATTCGATGATATTTAATCTAAATTAATCAAAGATGTAACTCATTGTTATTAACCAACATATTTTCTCCATTAATTTTATGAATACTATTACATGTGCTGAATTCCATTAAACAAGAAAACATATGATCATGGCCAGCAATAAACAATTTATCTTCAAATACATCAATCCCACTTATCTCAGCAAAAATATCAATCTCCTAGTGCAATTTAAATGTCTTTTGATCATATATATGCACATAATCAATACTCTCAGCAAAGATGAGTTTATCATCATGAAATTTGATGTCACTAATTTAACCTTGATATCCTTCGAAAGATTAAAGGCAATAGCAATGAGACTTGTTTGAATTATTTTCTCTCAGGCATCTGATGTCCCATAACTTACAAGTCCTATCTTAGTTTCCAGTAGCTATCAAATTCTAATTGGGATGCCATTAAAGTGCAAAACCGAAATCTTCGTGGCCTATTAAGTTTGCAATTAACTTAGAGCTTCTACGATCGTATATCTGGGCTTAGATGCAATCACCATAGACAGCAAGCATATGCCCATCTGGGCTAAGTTAAGCTATGTTAATAGCCTCCTTGAAACGATGGATTTCTTTTACTTTCATACTCTCCAAATCATGAATCTGAACAGTCTGGTCATTTGTAGAGCTCAGTATATTCACTGAATTATTTGATTTGCCTTCCTGGAAAATTTGCAGATGATTAACAATCATTCCCTCTCCTTAAGCTAGTGAAAATTTCTTTTGCACATATTGCTATTTATCAGTATCGTATATAGCAATATTTCCATCATGTGATCCTAGAACAATAAAGTTCTAAAAATTATCGAATACTGAATAATTTCCCAAAAGCCAATTTTCACACACTACTTTTTAGGATTCTACCCATGGCTCTTTAAAGTTGAAATAATTGACTCCTTAGTTAGTGGCAAAATAGATCTCATGACTAGATAATGCTTTAAGATTTCTAAGTAACTAAAAATGACCAATGCTAACATTCTGATCAAGTTATGTTAACCTATGGCCATAGAAATATTTATTTTAGATAAGTTAACGTTCATTTTCTTCTTCTTTATTCTTACTCATCTTTTTAATATTCTCCATCTCAGGTGTCCTAAAGCTTTTAGCTTGCATCCTTCTTATCTTTCTATACCTTTCTCTGTTAAATCTCATTCGCTCCCAAACAATTCCCTGATCATCAACTCCAGATTCGTTTGCCAATTTCTATAAAATTTCGCAAGTCTAAGTATAAGAGGCGTCTGTCTATTATAACTTATGATCGGACATCCAGTCAATCATCCAAGATTCATACTCAAGCCTTACAAAGTCGTTAGTCTTGATTCTCTCTTCATGATGCTAGGTAAGACTATCTAAACCTATATTGAACATTTTGATTTTGAATTTTTATAAAAAGATTATCGAAATAATTCTTTCTATTTAGCCTTAAGGGGTTTTGGGGTTTTGGGGTTTTGGGG